AGGTTGTCTGAATTACATATTCTACAACTACTGGAAGTCCCCCTAAACAATCATGGGGAGATCTCAAAATACTGATTCAAGCCCTGTAATGATTATAGGGAGCCCTGGTGGCACAGTGGTTGCTAACCGAAAGGTTGTCGGTTTGAACTCATCAGCTGCTCTGCGGGAGAAAGATGTGGCAGTCCGTTTCGGTAAAGATTACAGCCTTGGAAACCCTATGGGGCAATTCTACTCTGTCATATAGGGTCACTATGAGTTGGAATCCACTCAATGGTAATTTTTAAAAATAATTATAATATTTTTCAGCTTTTCTATGGAAAGTTTTGGTAAAATGTCCATTTTGTCTGAGTTTTCAAACTTACAGGTATAAAGTTAATATTCTAAAAATCTCTGCTCTATGTGTTTATTCATTCCTACAAACTGTTCACTTGTGCTTTTTCTCTTCTTGATCAATCTTGAATAGAATGAACTTTCGGCTTTGTTATTCCTATTTTGTTTTCTATTTTATTAATTTCTACTCTATTCCCTCCTTCTGTCCTTTGAATTTGTTTTACTTTTTCTAAGTTGTATGTAGTATTTTCTGATTTTGAATATGGTTTCTTATTTGACCTATTAGTTATTTGCAACCTTTCTAGTTATCCTTTGTGTTGACTTCTGACATTGTGATCAAGAAAGATGGTCTTCATGATATTCTTGGAAATTTGATTTTTTAAAATTATTTTTATTGTTGTTGTTATGTGCCATTGAGTCGATTCCAATTCATAGTGACCCTATAGGACAGAGTAGAACTGCCCCATAGGGTTTCCAAGGAGTGGCTGGTGGATCAAACTGCTGACCTTTTGGTTGTGTAGCCAAGCTCTTAATCACTGCGCCAACAGGGCTCCAAACACTCTAATTCAATAATTTTTACACACACAATTCAGTGACACTGATTACATTCTTCAAGCTGTGCAACCATTCTCACCCTCCTTTCTGGGTTGTTCCTCCCCATTAACATAAACTCACTGTCCCCTCAGGTTCCTATCTAATCTTTCGAGCTGCTATTGTCAGTTTGTTCCCATACAGACAGATCTTAAAGGACAGTGCTCAAGGCAGACATTCTTTACTAGTTAACCTAAACTGTTGTTTGGCTTTAAAGAAGACTTCAGGGGATATTTTTGGTTTAAGGTTTAAAGATTATTTCAGGGCAATAGTTTCAGGGGTTCATCCAGCCTCCATGGCTCCAGAAAGTTTGGAGTCCATGAGATTTTGAAATTTTGTCCTTCATCTCCCACTGCTTTTGATCAGGATTCTTCTATAGAATCTGTGATCAAAATGTTTCAGTAATGGTAGCTGGGCACCATCCAGTTCTTCTGGTCTCATGGCACAGGAGGTAGTTGTTCATGGCGGCAATTAGCCACGTTCCATTTTCTCCCCCTATTACTGACTCTCCTTGAAATTTGATACTTTTTTCTTTAATAGCCTAGTATGTGATCAAGGAGCCCTGGTGGCCCAAATGGTTAAGTACTGGGCTGCTAACCGAAAGTTTGGTGGTTCAAACCCATCCACCAACTCTGCGGAACAAAGACCTGATGATGTGCTTTCACAAAGATGACAGCTAAGGGAACACTATGGAGCAGTTTTTTACTATGTCATATGGGTTTGCTGAGTTGAAAATTGACTTGATGGCAACTAACAACATGTGATAAGTTTTCATATATTTTTCCTTCTGTGTTTAAAAGAATATGCATTCTTATTTTGTATGCAGAGTTCTACATATGTTCATTAGATCAAGTTTAATTTTGTTCTAATTTTCTCTGTTCTGATTCTTTTTAACTGCTTGATCTCTCAGTTACTGAAAGAGTTATACTGTGAAGGTGACCATGTCAATTTCTCCTTATAGTTTTCTAAATTTTTGCTTTATATTTTTTGAAGTTATCTTATTGAGTGTACACAAATTAGAAGATGAATCAAACCTTCTATCATTCCGTAGTGATCTTTGTTAAAACAAAATATCACTATAGTTAAAGTCTAATCTTATATAACTGCAGGAGCCTTCTGTGATTTCTCTGGCATATGTTTTTTCATCTTTTTGCTGTCAATATTTCTGTTATTTTAGATGCATTTCTTTATCCATTTACAATGGGATTTCCTTCTACCATATTATTTAGTGCTTATTTGTCCTACCCACTTTTCCCCCTGTGCACTTATTTTGTTTTACTCATTCCATTTTTGCCTTTACCATATACTACTTGAACATACTTTGCTTTTTTTATATGTAGCCCTTCAAATTTTCAAATTCATACTTAATCAAGTCTAAAGTTGGTCCATATCTTCACTCTCCTTCAGAATAATGCACAATCTTTGGAGTTATAATTCTAATTACCTATCATACATGTACTAGGTTTACATGAAACAGACCTACATACAATAAGTTACCTAGGATTTTCACCCTATATTGTGTTTTTTCATCCCACAAATTTAGACATTTTCACTGTCATACTATCAGTATTTCTTTAGATTTACTCAAGGGTTTATCATTTTCTTTACTCAACATTATATCTTACATTTTAGACTTTCTTTCTGGAATAAGTTTCCTTCTCCTTGAAGTATATCTTTTAGAAATTCCTTTATTGAGGCAATTTTGGTGGTAAATTTTCAGCTCTTTCTCATCTGAAAATGTCTTTATTTCACCCTCATTTTTAGCTAATCCATATAGCAGAGTAGTTTGCATCAAAAATTTTTAAATGATATTACTAATATAGCATTTTGTAGTTGAAAGTTGAAAGCCTTACACATTCAAAGAAGTGATAAGGTAAGTATTATTTTTGTATAGCATTTATCAAATGAATGTCTGAAGCATCTCTCACATGCATTTCTTCCACTAGAGTCTCACATGATGCTGAGGGGTTTGCTAGTAAGAAACATAGTTTATGATCCTCATTTTTTACAGGTAAATAGGACAAATATTTTAAGATTTGTCAGTCCGATTATTCTTTTCGCATCTCTGGCATCTGCTATCTACAAAACTTAAGGTTTGCCATCTCTGTCTCTTTAAACCTATTCTTTTCACAAGTATTAAAATTTCTACAGTGTTCACAATGTCCCTTTAATATTACTTTTAGTTTAAAAGAATTTTTGATTAACTAGTATTCTTAATTCCTTCCAACATGTCAGATAAAAAAATCCTTTTTTAAGATAACTGAGTCTTTGCTAGCTCTGGCACATTGCTATATGATTGATAATTTAAGCTAATATAAAAAGTTCATTATTTTTTAATCATGTTCCTGAAGAATAAGTTATAAATCTGTGAATAATAGTCCATTAAATTAACACTTCATTTATATAAAGGAGAAATGAAAAGTCCTATCATGTTCAAGGCTAGAATTTTGGTAAGAGTTGCTAAGTTTTTCATATACATACATGAATAACACACATACACAACACACACACGCACTTCACCAGACTACTGAACTTTGATAGGTAAGGTAATTCAATTTTCATATCTTTTCTTAACAGCTGAAAGGAGCAGTAGATCTTCAATTTCATTGATTCCACACTCTTATTAAGGGGGAAAGATCAGTATATTCACCCAACATACAAATATGTATAAATTACTTATGTGAAAAAGAATGAACTATAGATAGATTCAAAATTACACTGCCATTGTCATTTTCAATTTCATAATGTGGCTGAAGAGCAAATAGTGGACTGTTCGATGAATTATTATCTGCTGACAGTTTGGTGCTCCCTTGCTCCTCAGCAACAGCAGTTCCTAGACAAGGACTTGTAGTTCAATTGGGAGATGATCTCAGGAGGTACCATGAGAGAGTGGGGAAATTAGGAAGGCCAATAAACAGCGTGTTAATGAAGAAATTATCGCTGTAAGCTGGGAATAAATCCTACTGGGACCAGGCAGAAATATCTCAGTGTCTCAGAAGCCCTAACTATTTGGAAACTACACGAGCCGAGTTGGTACAGGGTACGTGGGTGGGGAAAGACAACATATGCTACATCTGCTAAACCTGCATCATTAAGATTACTATTTTCAATCTTGGTTTCTCTGCAGGATTCTTTTTAAGCCTTTAAAGAATCTTTGTTAGAAGATTTACAACTGTCAATTTACAGTTACATAATTTTAATGAGATAGATAACATATAAATGAACAAACCTCTGAAAACACCACCGTCAATCCCTTCCATTTTCACCTCAGGTATTTATGTGACATATGACAATCTGACATATGGGCTGAATGAGAGCACCAGGGTCAATCTGAACACCAAATATTGATGATGTAATTTTTTCTTAGACTAAATTGTATCAACAGAAGTTCTAAAATTTTCTTACTTCACTGCAATATACTATCTTGTGTATCCCTTGAGATGCATGCTCCCCATTTTGGCTCTCACTGGCACAGTATATTGAACCTTCTCCTGCTTTTGGTTGGAAATGATTCAATTGAGTTCAGGGTATGTCTGGACTATTCTAAATGGATAAGAAAATATTAGTAATATATAGTTCTAATGTAGTTTTAGTATTCATCTATCATTAACAGAGAGAAGGTAAGGATTTTAAAATATAACTTCACAGAGTTCCTTGAATGGGTATCTTATTTCCCTGTGCTTCAAAAATCATACTAAAACCCAACCATAATGCAACTTCATTTTGTAATGTAGTGCAAGTCTGATTAAAGTGCTCTGAGATTCCATAACCTAGTCACCCACACAAAGTGATGTTAGTGAGAGGCAGATGAGTAAGTAGCCTTGATTCATTCCTTTTGCAGAAATCAAAGTTCTATATAAAATTTTCTAAAGTCATAATTTGCTAAAGGAATTACATGAGAGATTAGAAATGCATTTGAACTTTTCTAAATAAACAGTACTTAACTGAATTAAAAAAAAGTGACACAAAATTATAAAAGTCCATTTTATTTAGGTTGAAATGTATATACCATTTATTTAGTTTTCAAACAAGTTTAATACGAAGTTTGTTAACATTTTGATTAATCTTCAATAACCCAGAAACAGAATAGACTGAAGTCTTACTGTATGAGTTTAAGAAATCCATTTTATATAGAAATGTTAATTCCCCTAGAGTTTAAAACTTTAGAATCAAAACACCTTAGCCTATAAAAGGCTTTTAATAAATTGCATAATATTCTGCAAAAGACTAATTTATGATACATATCAGCAAAATTCAACCCCACTTTCTCCAATAATAAAAAAATGCTTTTTTAAAGTGTTACTTTTTAAGTGACGCAAAACTAAGGAAAACTGGTTGTTTCTTTTAGAATCATCTTGTCTGGAAAAAAATATTCTATGCTTTACCATTTGTTGCCATGCCTTACAGAGATAGGGTCTATAGTCTATGTCCTCATTTCTTGGATGCTTAAAGGCAGAAGAAGGTCCTTCTGTAGAGTTTGAGGGTTTTTGCATGATGCTTTGTGTTGATGCAAAAAGAACCAAGCGGTACTCATTCACAAGTCTCTCTAAGAACTGAGAACATTTCTTCAGAGTAGACTCCTGTAAGTTAACACTTTCTCCTCCATTGGCACGGTCTATCCAGTAAAAAGCTGACAAGCTATCTAAGATCAAAAGGCAGAGAGAGGGGTGGCTACAAAACATACTTTCTAGTGAGTAAAGGGTGAGAAGTAACTGGGAGCTACTATTGCAGTACACCAAAAAGAATCTTCCAAGGCAAGATTTTATTATCTCTTCAGAGCTTTGGGACAGTCTATGCTCAAGGATTGTAACAAGCCGAAGCATATCAAAGTGGTGATCTGTGTCAATAAATAAGACTTCTATTTCCAGTCCACCTTCAGACTTTGGAAGTATACACCGTGCTGTTAAATGATAAAGCATTTCTGTTTTTCCTGTTCCTTCTGGACCATGAAATTCAAGAATATCACCTGTGTAAAATTTTAAAATGCCAGTCAAAATGCAGCAGCACAATAATAGTAGGTTATAAAATGAAAAGTCTACAAAAATGTTTTAAAATACATTTACTGTAAAGTAAAAGAAAATCTAAATCCATTTGCTAAAATGGAACTGTATAAACAAATACAAATAAAAAGGAAATAAATAAATGGATAAAATGGCAAATTTTACGTTATATGTATTTCACAACAATAAAACTAAAAAAAAAAATTTAAATAAGTAAGTCATTAACTTTCACCTCTGAGAAGGAACCGTTTATCAATTAGCATCAAGGGAAAAAAAAAGACTTTACCAAAAAAGTGAAAAGACAAGCTACATACTGGGAGAATATCTTCGGAAATCACAGACCTGGTAAGAATCTAATAATCAAAATAAATATAGAACTTCAGCAACTTAACAACAAAAAGACAAATAACCCAATCATAAAGTGGGCAAAGGACTTGAATAGACATTTCACCAAAGGGGATATTCAAATGGCCACCAAACACATGAAAAGATGCTCAACTTCATTACAGAGATGCAAATCAAAACCACAATGAAATATCCTTTCACTTCACTAGGATGGAACCCTGGTGGCACAGTGCTTAAGAGCTACAGTTGCTAACCAAAAGGTCAGCAGTGAATTCACCAGTTGCTCCTTGGAAACCCTATGGGGGCAGTTCTACTCTGTCCTATAGTGTCGCTATGAGTTGGAATCAACTTGACGGCAACAGGTTTGGTTCTTGGTTTTAGGATGGCTAAGATAAAAACAAACAAACAAACAAACAAAAAACAGAAAATAACAAATGTTAGCAAGGATGTGAGGGAACTGGAGCCCTTATCCATTGCTGGTGGGGATGCAAAATGGTAGAGCTGTTGTGGAAAACTGCGTGGCAATTCTTCAAAAAACTACAAACAGAACTACCACATGACCCAGCAATTCTGCTCCTAGATATATACCCAAAAGATTTGAAAGCAGAGACTCAGAGACTTGTACACCAATGTTCACTGTAACACTATTCACAATAGCCAAAAGGTGTAAACAACCTAAATGCCCATCAACGGATGAACGAGTAAACAAAATGCAGAACATACGAGAGTAAATCAGAAAATATTGCTACTGGGGTGCCAGTTCATACATGCGTGGGTTTATTTCAAACAAAACATGTTTAAACATGTCTCTGTGATCAGTAGATGGCTGCAGACAAGTTCTCTCAGTAATACACTTGTCTTAGTCTCCTTAGGGTGCCTTTAAAAAAAACAGGGATACTTTTTGTGCCACGGGAAAAAACGATTTTGAAGTCAGGGCTAATATCAAATTCTTAACAAAACTCAAACGGACACCTTCCCAAATCACTGAAGCTTTGCAACAAGTTTATGGGAATGCTGCCCCACATAAAACAACAGGTTTTAGATGGATAAAGTGTTTTAAGGAAGGTTGGGAAGACCTTAAAGATAAGCCAAGAGAGGGAAGACCGCTCCATAGGTTATGGAGACTGTTTTTTTGGATTTCAAAGGGGTAATCTTGATAGGTTTTCTCAAAGGACGCAAGACGATCACAGGGGCTTATTATAAAGAAGTTTTAAGAAAACTGAAAACTGCACTGGTGAGAAAAAGGCCAGGAATGTTGCGCCAAACAATTTTTATCCATCACGACAATGCACCTGCTCACTTTTCAAGGGTAGCTAGGGCTGTCCTAAGAGAATTTCATCGGGAAACCTTACCCCATCCATGCTACAGCCCTGTTCTTGCCCCTTCAGACTTCTTTTTGTTCCCAAAACACAAAGAATATTTAAAAGGAACACAATTTGAGTCCCCTGAGGTTACCAAAACTGCCGTTTTGACATGGTGTAAATCAAAGAGCTCAGAATTCTGTGGGAAAGGGTATGTTGAGACAGAGGGTATGTTGAGAAACAATAACTTCACATTTTGATATTTTTGGTTAATAAAAATTTGTATGTAGCAATTCTGTAGCAATAGTTTTTGACTCACCGTCATATATACAATGGAATACTACTCAGCCAGTAAGAGAGATGAAGTCTTCATACATCCTACAATATACATGGAGCTTGAAGACATTTTGCTGAAGGAAGTAAGTCAATCACAAAAGGACAAACATTGTAATGACCTCACTTATATAAAAAAACAAGAAAAAGCAAATGTATAGAGGCCAAAGTTTATTAGTGGTTACGAGGGGCAGGAGGGAAGGGGAAAACGGGGGATTATTGCTTACAGAATACTGAATTTTGGTTTACGGTGATGGAAAAATCTCACTCATTAAAGGGTAGGGATACATAGCTCATTACTGTAAGTGCTGTCAATAAGTTGTACACCTGTAAAAAGTTGAACTGGCAGAAGCTGTATGATATTTACAACAACACAACAAAAAAGAGTAACTGCTGAGGCTGTTTATGTATGACCAAATACCTCATGGGATTTGGTTCACTGGTTTGGAGGTTTAGGGTCATGGTTTCATGGGACATCCCAGTTACTGCCCTAATAATGGGCTTAGTGCTTCTGTTCTACCTTCTAGTTTGTTGCGTAGTTCCTGGGCTCTTAAAAGCTTCTAAGAGGGCATCCAGAGCACAACAATTAGTCCCTATTCACCTGGAGCAACAGAGGAAGAAGGAGAGTCAGGAATAGGAGAAGGAAATGGAATGTGTGTTTTTAACTGCCTCCATGAACAACTGCCTCCTTTGCCATGAGACCAGAAGAACTGGATGGTACTCAGCTAAGCATTACTGAACATTTTTATCAAAGATTTTATAGAAGAATCCTGATCAAAAGGGGGAAAATGTAGACCAAAGTTTCCAACTGTCATGGACTCTAAACTTTTGGGAGCCACAGAGGATGGATGAATCCTTGAAGCTATTGCCCTGAGATAATCTGTAAACCTTAAACCAAATATATGCCCTGAAATCTTAAAGCCAAACAACAGTTTAGCTTAACTAGTAAAGAATGTCTGTCTTGAGCATTATGCTCTTTTAAGAACTATCTATATGGGATCAAATTGACAATAGCAACTTGAAAGATTCAATAGGGTCCTTAAGGGACAGTGAGTTTATGTTAATGGGGGAGGAACAACTCGGAAAAGAAGGGTGAGAATTCTTACACAACTTGAAGAATGTAATCAATGTCACTGAATTGTACACGTAGACATGGTTGAACTGGTGTATCTTTTGCTGTGTATATTCTCAACAATAACAACAAAATAAACAAAATTTTTAGAAAAGCAGCGGAGTTAAGATGTGGACTAGTCAGATGCACTAAGCCATCCTGCTGCAACAAAGACCCGAAAAACCAAGTAAAACAGATACAGTTGTCAATCCTGGACCTCTGAACTTTAAATGAAGGGATAAAGTATTAGGTCAAAAGTCACTGAGAAGAAGAAACTGACAGAAAACAGGGAAAGAACAGAGATACAGAATGGAGGTTCCTGGCCAAATGGCATGACTCAGCATGGCTATCTTGGAATAAAACCAACAACCCCACACACAAAAAGCCACCTCCACGGTATTCCCAATAAGAGATAGAGGTACAGCATGGACACAGCCAGGACTAAGTAAGACCATCTGCTGGCTGCAGCTCAAGGAGGAGCCCAGACGCTCTCGCCTGGTAACCACAGTGGAGCACGCTCCTACAACCCCAAACCCTCTGGTGAAGAGTAAGTATATCTGCCCCATCCTAGCAAACCTGACTGCCATGAAGCACAGTATCAACTCATCTTATTGCCCTCCTCTATCTAGCCCCCTCTGCCCCTGCCTCCCCCCCACGTCTCTCCTCTGCTCCACTGGCTGCGGCCCCAAGGGGACCCAGCCTGGATCCTAGGCCCCACCCCGCTTGCTCGGGACCCCCCCCCCCACCAACTGCCGCAACCTGCTCTAGGCTCCAGCCCAATTCACACTACAAACAACCTATCTCCATCCCTCCCCCCGACCACGCTGGACCTGCCTTGCTGCACTATAGCTGAGTGACTGGCTCTGCACACCCAAACAAGATGGTGAGAACTATCGTGCCCACAGACGAGCAAGCAAGAAAGCATGCCCAGCCCACCCACCCAGACACAACCAAACCAAACAAAAAAAGCAGAATGAAACAAACCTATAATCAATAAATAAAGAATATAAAATCTGAATGTCTCAGAGATAGCAGACAATATTAAAACATAAAAAAAACTACAAGATGGCTCCGACAAGCGACCAGAATAAAGCACCAGTTGACCTTCCAGCAGAAGAAAAGGCACTGAAACAACCTGATAAGGAACTCAAAAGTCTAACATTAAAGGCTCTTCAAGAGACTAGGAAAGAGATAAAAAAAAAAATGCAGACAAAATCATGGAAAACACAGACAAAACCAACCAAAACAGTCAATATCAAGGAAAACACAGGGAAAACAAAAGAAAAATTCAGGAAAACGAACAAAATGTCAAAATAAATAATTAGAAATCATACAAAAACAGCAATTAGAAATCCAAGAGATAAACAACAAAGTTTCAGAAATGGACAAAGCAATAGAAAGTTTTAGGAGCAAAGTTGAAACAATGGAAGACAGAATCAGTAAAACTGAAAAAAATTGCCAACCAAGAATAATACATCCTGCAAAACTCTCTCTCAAATAGGATGGCGAAATTAGGACATTTCAAGATAAACAAAAATTAAAGGAATTTGTAAAAACCAAACCAACCTTACAAGAATTATTAAAGGGAGTCATTCAAGTAGAGAACCAATGATATAAGACAAGAATCTGAATCGAGAACACAGGTCAGTATCAGCCAAATACCAACCTAGGAAATGAACTCTCAAGGATAAAACAAAAACAAAACTAAGATTCAAAACAGGGAACTCAAGATGTCAATCTGTAAATGACAACAACATCAAAACAATAAATGAGCAAATACACAGTGTAGGTATAGAACTTTCAAATGGAGAGGAAATCAAGGCAATTTCAAGTAATAAAAGACTGGTTCAAACTTAGGAAGATAAGGGTAAATTAC